TGTTCTTTAATCAGTTAATAAATGGCTGAAGTTATTGGGAAAGGTTTCCCAGAGAGGTGGAAACTGAGGTCTTCCCAATGTTACATCTCTTCATTCATTCAACAAATATTTATTGAACACCTACTATGTGTCACATTCTAGAACTAGGAACTAGAGTAGTGAATCCAACAGACACAACAGACACCAATCGTTGCCTTTATGGGGCTCACTTTTGATGTAATATTTGAGAAGAGGAAGTAAGCCACGTGGCTGTCTAGCAAGAGAGATACATGCAAAGAAAGCAAATATTGGGTTGTTGGAAAAGTCATGATGTATTTTTTTCTATGTTTTTCATTGCAAAAATGCGTAATGACTTTTCCAACAACCCAATAGTACAAAAGATATGATGGGGGCCACCCCAGAGAATCAGTTAGGGTTCCAACAGGAACAAATGACACACTCAAATCAGGAAAATTCAGCGTGGGATTATTAATAGAGAGACCATTTACAAAGGCGTGGACAGGGAATTTCCCTTTTATTTACCCCTGGAAGCGAGGGGTTATGGACTAATGTATACACGATGTTCAGAGACTAAATATATTTGTGACTTTGGGTTCTGCACGGTGGTGGTAGCATGTGAGTGATCACAAACTTGGCCCAGCCCCATGATGCCTTTTTAATCATGACTTAGGGTCAGCTGTCAGGGCCCTGGGAGTTTACCCCACAATGGAATGCCTTTAAAATGCACTTTACCATGGAAAGAAATGCAAACCTCCTTGATCATGTCAGAGGACGACAGACACCTTTCCTGCTCCTCCATGTGGAAGTTATTGTTGCCTTTCCATGACAGAAAAATTACAGATTGATGGAGCGACATTTTCATAGACATTTTGGTGTCAGAGCATTTACACAAATGTATGCTTTGGGCACCTCCTGTCCCCACTCAGGAGACGATGTCTTAATTATTTTGACCGAAGCCAGACCATGTTGTGTGTTGTAAACATCTGGTTTATCATTCATCCAGCTGAACTGGTTTATATTTTGTTAGAAGAAAAGGCTTGGGATTAAAGGCATTTAAGTAATTAAGCACATGTCAAGACAATTTGGTGATGGGTAAATATAGTCTCTGTTAAATGCACCGTCTGGGGGCTCTGGTTTAGATTTATGTCCGGCTGGAGCACAGGGATGAAAGCGGAACGCCGGGAGGACAGGGCCCTGTTCTGGGGGGGATCAAAACCAAATGGGTTTTCAGGAGCTCAGCACCGTTCCTCTAAGTACTGGTCCCAATGGAGCAAAGTTTCCTTTGAGTTTGGCCTGGAGGGAATAGAGCTGTAGTCCCTGTCACCCAGTGTCACTTGCAGATTTAATGAGACTCTCCCTGGGAGGCAGACCATAAACTGTGCTTTGATTGATCATTTGTATTCGGGAAACCAGAGACGTCTTGGAAGCTAAATGCTAGGGTTCAGGTTTGTGTTGTGAGTGTGTGTTTTCAGGTACCAGTCCCAGGCCAGAGCCAACCCTGCTCTGTGTCTTGGCCCCGACCCTATGGATGCAAAGGACCGATGTTGCTGGGCCTGGCTGGATCAGGCTGTGCTGAACTGTGGTCAGTGCCAGGCAGATAGGAAGCACAGGTCTTTTCCTTTGGGGATTATCATTCTAACAGCAATAGGTATGAAGTACCTGGTGATTTGATGGGACTTAGGGATCAGTGAAGCGGTCCTCAGTGAGCTATGCTTTGTTTGAGCCGAGGCACTGCTTCTGTCTGTGGGCAGAGGAAAGAAAAATGTCCTCCATACTTTCTCCTTCTTCCTGGCCCCCCTTCCGGGAGTAACAGGACAAGAGGTTGGGTCTAGAGCAGAGAGGAAGGACTATAGATGTGATCCTAAAGAAGAAAGCTTTGCTGTTATGGCCAGATGGATGGTGCGTGATGGAACCAATTAGCCCATTTTTGCTGAAAAGAAAGGAAAAAATTCAGAATTTCAATTTTCAAAGCAGAGACTCTTTAAAAACAACAACAACATGTTTGATTATTTTCTTCTTCTTTCAAACTGATTTCCATGCTTGTTTGGGGGGTAGAATCTTGGTTTCTGAAGTCTGTGGGTGACTTGCGAAGCCAAAACAATTCCCATTCTTGGGTGAAGTTGTGGATGTGTAGTTACTTTTCAACTTTGCCTCCCCCTCCCAGTCCTTCCTGCTTTTATGTCCCATCCCTTCTCTCTGACCAACAGCCACTGATTTGGATCACCCATATGACATCTGAAAAAGAGGAGGTCCATAACCGTGGGGGACAGAGACACATTCCATCAGTATGTAGGGCTATTGTTATCCGGGTTACGATGACGCGAATCATATTGGCTCCAAGGCAAAGAACCATTTGTTGGGCTTGCTCTCTTTGGAAGTAGCCTAATGAACTGAAGTTTAAAGTCTCTTTATCAGCATAGGTTACCAAAGAAAACGGGAGTTGTGAGGGAGGTGGGTGCCTGTGATAAATGGGAAGAGACCCGGAGATAAGTTTAGCTATAGGGTGGTTACTCTTAACAACCATGATTGCTCTGTGTTCCAACAGTGAATTAGGTGCCATAAGAGACACAGGTGAGAGGGGTGTGCTCTCTGACCTCAGGTACCTTGTAGGCCTTTTGGGGCACAAAACAATCAGCAAAGTCCGAGAAGTGAAGTGAGCTACCCGCTGTAGGCATGCAGCTCAGAGGAAGCTGTATTTGAGATGAGAGGTGGGGTGCATAACGTTAGACTTCCAATGATCTTTCTGAGGATCTGGCAACAGGACCCAGGAGTTCAGGTTGTCAGCCTAATGCTCTCAGGCCCTGGGCTACTGTGCTTAGCAAATCTGAGAATTAGCAGAAGAGTTCAACACCTATTTAACTTTTCCCATACAGTTTTGGGATTGTCTTCAGGGTGTATGCTGCTGCCGTGGCAACCATGGGGTGTGAATGTGGGAGTGGGGTGGGGGTAGAGGGGTATGTGCAGTGGAGCCATACCCGCCTGCAATGCTTCAGCCTCTATTCATGTTGACAGCCCTGTTGTAGCTTTGAACTACCCCCACCCCCACCCAACGTGGGACTGACTCCCCCCCTTGATTATTGTAGGGTGGCTTCACATGGCTGTGGTTATGGCTCTTGAACTGATTAATGATGCTCAGAGTGAAATTGTAGTCTTGTGAGTACGACAAATCTGCAGCTCATTGAGCCTTGGGGCACCCCTCCCCCACACCCGCACTCACTTTACCACCCTCTGATCCCCCCACTCTCCAGAGTTATTTCTGGTGTTTTATGTTCATGCCAAGGAAGAAGTTTAAAATCAGGAAAGAACTGGCCCTTTGGTGACCATGCAGCACCAAACACTCAGCTCTCAATTCATTGGAAGACGGCCACTTCCGCCTGAGAGCCCCCTGCGGCATCCCAAGAGATTCTGCTCCCACGTGGGGCCCACGGCTGGTCTTTCTGGCATCCAGCCTCCTAGAGTTGAGGCAAATAGGAGTAAGATTTGAGGAAGCGGAAGTTGATGGAGGAGAGAGGATTGTTTCAGAGCCCCTGCAGTCTCTGAGCTTGTGGGTGGGGCATTGGGTAGGAAGGGGAGGGGGAAAACCATGAATTTTAATGAGTAGCTGTTGTCCAGATTTGTTATCCAAACTTGTTGTTCATCCAGAGCCCTGAAAATACAGATTACTTAGAGTTTGGACATCATATGTGTTTCCCTCCAAAACCAATTTTCTCTTCTCATCTCACTAATGTCTACAGTCTTTCTGGAAAGAATGGCTCAGGACAGAAAGATTGTTTGAGATACGGGAAATCGCCATGTACCAGAGACTAGCCCATCCTCCCCATCTCCATGATTAAATGTGCCTCCTTGCATGGCAGAATCCTTGATACTGTGAGTTGGTGAGAAATAATCTCTCCCATTGGGGACCCAGTGACACAGGACAGGCTATCCTGAGTCAGACAGAACATACAGACCATGTTATAGTCTCTGAATAAAACCATGAATAAAACAAGTAAATAACAGTGCCTCGATGCTGAGCAGAAGGTTCTCTGTTGTGAGTCTATTACGGTTACAGGGACAGAGCCGTTCATTCATTTCACATATACAGGGCTACTATGTGCAAGTGGTGTAATATACTGTTGGGGTTAAAAAATGAATGCCTTGTGTGGTGTTCAAACTTTGTGGTCTCAGGACTGACTCCTTTACATTTTTAAAAATTACTGAGAGCACCCAAAGGGCTTTTCTTTAGGTGGTTTATACTGATGAATATTTGTTGTATTAGAAGTTAAGACTGAGAAACTTTTAAAGCACAAGAACACACAAGCACACATTCCATTAGCTGCCAAGGGATGATGTCAGCACATGTCACAAAACTGCACTGTACACTTGTGAGAGAATAGGAGTGAAGAAACAAATACTATGTTAATACTATTATAAAAATAGTTTTGACCTTCTGAATCCCCTGAAAGGGTCATGGGGACTCCCAGGTTCCCCAGACCACACTTTGAGAGCTACTGCCTGGCTTCCCCTTACCTCAGGGAGCTCATGGTCCACAGACCAGTCATGGACAGTAATAAGCACGGCTGTGAAGGAACAGGAAGGTGCCACAAATGAGTTCAGATAAAGTGCTGTGGGATGTTCTGGCATATACTTTTATTGATCATAATTGCAGGAATTCAGATAGTCATTCTTAAGCTATCACTAAACACGGATATTCTCCACTGACGCTGGTGGCCATGGAGGTGGTGGTGGGGGAGAGGAGTTATTGGACTGCAGCGATCTGAATGTGTGAGGACTGGAGGAGTGCGAAGTTTGAGAGGACATGTCTGATATTAAAATGCAACTTTGTATTGGGAAATGAAAAAATACTGCTAAGAACTAATGCTCAATGAAAATGTCTAGACTGGGAGAATGTAGAGGAGAGCTGAGAGGTGGGTGAGGGTTTAATATGTATCAAAAGACAAAGGTTAAGAGAGAAACCCCTGCCCGTAGAGTTACTATTTTTGTCTTCCTTTCTTCCATAGGTATTAACTCTCTGATAGCAAACAATATCTACGAGGCTGCCTACCCTCTTCATGACGTAAGTACCATTTTCGTCAGCTTGCTCCGCATGGTCTTCAAAAATTTGAAAACCACAGGCAATGCAGCTGGTGGATCTATGTGAGGTGAGGCAGGAGTGAATCATGGCATTAAAGTACGCTGGCTGATCCTGGACCACTCGTGCCTGACAATAAGTTTGATTTTTGTCAGTGGTCTCAAACTACCTCTCCAATTATTTCCCCAATGGCAAAATGAACTGGTTTTGTTCGAGCTGCCTCTGCACCCCCTTCCTGAGTTTGGGGGGGGGGCGGGACATGTGAGAAGACAGATATGATCTGCAAGTGGTTAAAGGGAGGAGATGCTGGTGAAGGTGGGTGGATGGCAGTCGAAGAAAAGTCTACAGCCTGGGTAATACACAGCCTGGTCCGTCAGACCCTTAAATGAGTGAAAGTGATGTTTGGTATGTGGTAGTTCTATGTGGATGTGAAATTCCTCATCCTTAATATGCAAATATGTAAGTGTCAGATTTTTTTTTTTAATTTCGACATTTTTGAAGGAAATCACTCAAAATTCTTTATATTATTGTTTGGTTAAATAAAGTCCACAGAAAGATTGCCGTTAAAGCTTTCCTTGACTGGGGGTAGTGTTATAAACATGCCGCAGTACAATGCAAGGACATTCTTCAGGACAATTCATGAAGAACTTAATTGGCCCATGAACTAAATGCCCCCACCACTGCATTATTTATATGATTGGTCACTTTTTTAGCATCTGTCACAGAGTTGTGCCACATGAAGCCACGGAGGTGGGGATCCCCAAGTGCCTGAAGGAATGTCCCAGATGACAGCCTTCTCCTCACTGACATCTTTGCTGTGGGCATATGTGAGGTCAGGTTTGCCAGTTATGGAAAGGGGTGAACATGGCATGGCACAGGGTGGTTTCCTGTGATATGCTAGCCCATTTGCAGACACAGGCTCTGCAGTTGCATCTGCTGCGAGGAAGCACATGCTGATCTCTGGAGCATCTGAGGGGAGCGCCTTTGTGTGAGAAGCTGTCCACAGGAAACATTGCAAGTGCTGATGACTTTGAAAGTGCAACCTTGCTTCCTTACCATGTCATGTTTTTGACCTTCCTCAAATGAGAATGGAGAAAGGGATGACGTCAGAAAATAGAAAGGAAAATCCTTTCTCTGTGTTTGATATCTCCATCAGCTTTATTCAGCATCCCTTTCTCTCCTACAGGGTGAATATGATAGCCCAGGGGATGACATGAATGACAGAAAGGTAAGCTGGCCTCCTGCTGCACTGAGTGCTTTGAGCACAGAGGATCATGGATGGGTGTGGAACTAGACAGAAGTGTCCTAAATGTTCAGTTTACCTGCTTAAATATTTTTGATCAGTTCTTCCACAGCTCCCTGCCTTCCAGGCACTTGGGAACGTGAGGGTCGTTTCTGGTCATCGACATGCCTGTGAATATGGGGGAGCTGATGGTATTTAGTGCCTAATGGACCAGTGACGCCAACCATCCTGAAATATATCCAACAGTCCCACACAAAGGCATTATTCCTACCCCCTGATGACAAGAGGTCCTTAACTGAGAAACACTGAAAGTCCAAAGTCCTTCCTTTATAGATGGGGAAACTGAGGCAAAGAAAGAATTGAGCACCTTGCCCATGATAACACTGCTGCAATAAACAGAGGTGGGACTTGGAACAAGTCTGACTCTCAAATCCAGCATCCATGCTAAAAATGGATTATTACCCAGTATTTTTTTAAGGGGGTTATCTTTAAGTTCTTTTTATCTAGGCAGACAAGTGGGGTATTACAGACGAGAAATCTGAGGGAGAGGGGGGGCTCATTCATACTGTATATTCAGATGGCTAGGAGTTGGAGGTTATAATCAGGGGAGGCAAAAAGGTCCCTTTGGAAGGATCTCTTCTGTGTCAAGCACAGCTCCTGACTGGACAGCTCTCCCCAGCCCTCCACCTAGACCCCATTTCTTCTGTTTGCTAATACTCTGGGACTATGGATGTGCTGCCCTTCCCAGCCATGGCATGGTGCTCTAAGGATCACCCAGCCTCCTTAGTGGTGACTGTCCCATTTGGTTGTCAACCCCTTCATGCCATCCTCCTACCCAGCACCTCCCAGACTTCAGCAACTCTGATGAGCAGAGGAGGGTGAGCAAGGGTGGGAGGGGTGAGGAATTGAAGCCCAAGAAGCTTCCCTCCCCCCACTCTGTTGTCTGGAAAATCATTCATCCCCCAAGTTGCCTTTTGAGCAGCCTTCTTTTTATCCTGCCTATTAGTCCCTGTTATGAAGTGTTAAGTATTAAAAACATAAAAGGTCTTTTCCAGAAATACTGCTGTGATTGCTTACACATGTCCCCTCTCTGCCTGCCCAGGGAATCTGCTGTAGTATTTCGATGTCTTAACCTCATCTGTTTTCTATCTGATGCTAATAGTCTCGGTGTTTAATTTCCTGAAAAGTCCTGGATCAGATTTAAAGGAAAGGAGGAAGCATTTCTCCCCACATCTCACCTCACTCACCCCAACCATTTTCTGCCCTCCCACTCTCTAATTTCACATTCCTCCCCTTTAAAGAGTGATCACCACTATTGCCCACCTATGAAACCTCCTGCTGGGTGGGTGGTGAACCAGCCTGTCAAGGTAGAGCACTTTACAGGAACATTCCAGAGACCAGGAACACACAGCAACTCACGGGAGAAATCAGCCAGCCCTCTGTTTATCTGCACAGAGGCAGAGACAAGCAAATTGTAGATTATCCAAAAAATATGTGTATTTGTCTTTGCAATAAACTATATTATTATCAACAGCAAAACCTTTTAACAAAAACATTTTCCTCCAGGAAATGTTTTTCTTAGGCCAATAGAATTATTGCACCACACTTATTGCACCATAATTATTGCACCACTATGCACCATAACTTGTCAGATGGGTAGAATCTGGGAGGCAGGGAGAGACCAGCTAGGGTGGAAATGCATCTTGGTGTATAATTCCCAAAGATGATGTCAAAAGGATGTTCCTCGGTGAAAGTGGATGAGTGTCTTTGAAAGACAAGAGGCCCCTTTCTTGCATCTTTTCTTGGGTTTGCTAGTCAGTCCTTGTGTCCTTGTTTTTCTCTGCCAAGGTCATGGTTAGGGAAATACACTGTGCTATGATGAAGGATAAGAGAAATCATGAATGAGAGACAAAGCTTTTTTCTGTCTATGTGGGTTGGGAAACTGATACCCAGCAAGGTGAGGAGACTGGTTCCAATGTCTGTAAATATTTGTCAGATCAGGACTAAAACCCTGGTCAGCGCTCTACAGCAGGGTTGACAAGGCTTCTTACGTATAATGAGGGGAATTCTCAGTACAGGGCTGGCCTCCTTCCTGCAGTGTCATTGGTGTATGGGTGGGGCCTAAAAGGTGTCTTAAAGAGGAAGGAGCCAAACCCTCTGAATACGTGCAGCATATGTATTTGTTTGTATTACATTACAATAGTCTACTGTTCTTCGAGAGGACTGCAAGATTTGGGTTGGGTGCAAAGGGAGAACCCCTGAATTTGTTGCTGGAGGATGTGGAGAAGGGTTGGGAGCTGCACTGTGGGATTTCCTCTCTGGGGACCTTTCGGGATGATTTGCAAGGGCACCTCCAGCTGCCCATCCTGCCAGTACCTGGATGCTCTCCTTCACTCTTCCCTGCAATCTGTGGCTATTTCTATGATTTCCCTGAGGCCAGGCTCCTCATAGGCAGGTCTCAGGCAAGTCCAGAGGCCCCCGAGAACGCAGTCTCCTTCCCCTTCAGCTTGCCTCTTGCAGTTGTGCAGCCTTGATGTACTCAGCACCAGCTGGTGGCTGGAGGTCTCTCTCTCTCTCCCCCATGGCTCCCAGGGGGTAATTAAAAAGAGGATCCCTTCCTCTGGAGAACAGGGGTTTCCCACCTTCCTAGAAAGCAGGGCAGCAAGAAGAGGGAGCAGCGTGGGTGTGTTTGGGTCCCTCCTGGCTGCCAGCAGCCACCCGGTTCCATAGTAGCCAGACCTGCCTATTTTTCTCAAGCATCTCAGGGGAGTGACTGTTAGCATCCTCTGAAAGCTTTCTGACCACCCCCTGGCTTCCCATGGCTCTTATGGGGGGAACCCAAGGCACAACATTAGAACATTTTTAAACCTTTGGTCTTGGATTTTCCAGCTTTTGCAAATGACTGTCTACTCTGTGGATAGTTATAAAGTGACCAGTAAAAGGTGTGCAAAGAAGGGTTCTGTCTTTGTGACAAAAAAGCTACTTTTCTTGGTTTCACTTGAGGATTCCTTTTCCGATCATGTACAGCGCCCATTGCATTCATGGGAAGACCTGGATAGTTGAAGTGACTTGCCCAAAGTTCAAACAGGTCATTGCAGGATCTAGGAGTAGAATTCTATTTTCGCCCATTCAGGCCCACGCTGTCCCATCAATGCCTCTATGTTGGCTACAGTTGGCATCTTTTTGTCTGTCACAGGTCCGGCTGCCTTCTGAGGAGCTTGTGGCCTCAGAGAATGCTATGAGTCTCAAACATCTTGCTGCACTCTGGCATTGCAAATGGTTTTAACAGTTGGGTTCCTTTATAGTCTCATGAAACACTTAAGCCACCTGACCCACTGTCAAATGTGATCCCTTGGGAGCCGAGCTGGCCTCTTGTAGGCTGTGATCCATCAGGTGGGGCGGTCCCTGTGGGCTGCTGCTTCCTGCCATAAAGGTTTGTGGTCAGGCCGACGTGACTGGGATTACACCCGGGCCCCAGAAATAAGGCACTGTCCACCGAGAAAGAGCTGCAAACCCTTACTGTGCTACTTGCAGGCCTGGCTAGTTGGTGCAGAGGACATGGTTTAGCTCTAAGGGACAAAGAGGGTTTGCTAAGAGCTTCATTAGAAGGTTCTCGATTCTGCAAGTTTAAAGGGATTGTTACAAGTTACTGCGGTTGTCTTTCTGCACTTTACTTACACCACACTCATCACCATGGGGCTGAGATTCCAGGGCAGTCCTTCCTTCACCCTGACTGCTTGTCTGTGCTGGGGGTTAGCACGATCTCCTTGGTCTCTTAATGTGTGTAATTACACATTTGTAAAGATAGGGAAGGGTCTAAAGCATTCTCCATCCTTTCCCTGCCTCCCCTGCAAGGATGTATGAGCTGGCCTGGCCAGAGCCACATGGGTGTCCAGGCAAAACTGCGGCATCACTTCCCAGATGTGCTGCTCCCTACCTCCCATCTTTCTCCTGCATGGCTGCCTAACGATTTCCTCCTCTGTGTCCATCTAGCCTGTCTGCATTGAGCTCAAACAGCTCTCTTAGCTCATCCTCACTTATCTCCACAAACTATGGATACGGCTCTGTGCTTACAGGGTACCACACTGAGAAAAGGACTTCCTGGAGGTTTCTTATAGCAGGTCTGGGATCCAACCAGGAGTAAGGCTTGTGACCTTGGCTCTCAGTTTGAGCTCTAGCCAACTGAGCCATATGGGCTTCTTGAAGCATTTTTAGTGTTCCCCTCCAGGGCAGTGGCAGGAAGGTGCTCTCAGGCTCAGGTTTTGGCTGGACAGGTGAATTGGAGAGGACTTTTCTCTAGAGGGCAAGCCTATGAGGTGGGTTGTGATGTTCTGCAGTCCTCAAGAGAGGAGGCTTTGCCCGTATCTCCTGACGCAAGCTGGCCTCTCTTGGGGCCGCAAATGATGTCACTGTGACAACCAGGTGCTGGTGAGTCCAGGGTTTGCACTGGGGACAGAGAATAAAAACCCAGGGTAGTAGAAACACTCAACATGAGGGGGAGGAGGAGATGTCATAATAACAGTAAGATTCATAGGAGCCACCTGCCTGGAATGAGGAGCATCTAAACTCATGAGTTCAGATCTTCCTCTGCCCATCATGTCCTCTTGTGTCTGGGCCTCCTGCTTTTCAGATGGTGGTAACTTTGGGGGCAGTTTGCTCTATCAGGATATGTGTAGTTTCTGGTTCTATCTTTTGGTTGTTTGGAGAGATTATGACAGTAAAAGCCAATAGCCATTAAATAGGAATGCCAATTCTGGTTTCAATTTTCATTTCGTATCTTCAAAGATTCTTAGGCTAAAGGATGGCTTCTTGTAGGGCTGATGTTCAACTGGGTATTCAACATACCTGATGGGGGTAGCTTTTCCTTGACAGAATTCTATGAGAGTTCTGTGTGCTATGTAAGGAGATGTGATGTTTAAGGAGAATACAGAACCTAACAAGGTAGCAACTGTGTAATAAATCTATCAATTCTAGACATATAATTTGATTCTGTGCTAATATCTATTCAGCATGGATGTCTAGATGATATCTAACGATGGTTCATTACCAAATCACTTAATTACTTGTGGATAATCTGTGAAGCTCACTAGCCAGGTATTTGAAACTAAAATGTGGTTTGCCCTTGGGACTGATACACAGGTTTTGCCCACATGTCAGTTCTACTAAAGTTGCCATCACAAGATAGTATGGCCTGATGTCTTTGGCGCATTTCCTCCCTTAACCTCTAAAATGTGTTCCACTCAGGTTTTGTCCCCACCCTGCCACTGAAACTACTCTTGTCAAGGTCATCAGTGACCTTCAAATCCCTGAATCCAATGGGTGCTTCTCCATTCTCACCTGACCTGACCCATCAGCAGCTTTTGGCTCAGCTAGCCATTTTCTTCTTATTAAAACCCACCATCCCTTGGCTTTCTGGACACTACACACGTCTGGTTCTCCTCCACATCACCGGCTACTCCTCTGTCTCCTTTGCTCTTCTTTATTAGCCCCTTGACTTCTAAGCATTGGAGCACCCAGGGCCCAGACATCAGGCCTCTTCTCTACCTACTCTCCCTTTCTTGGAGATTGCATCCATAGTTTAATGACTTTACAAATCATCTCTTCTCTGATAACTAAATTTGCATCTCTGGTCTGAACTCTCCTTTAAACTCCAGACTTTTATATCCAGCTGCTTACTCAGTATCCCCACATGGATGACTAAAGGGCATCTGAAATGTGCACATCCCAGACTGAACTCTTGGTTCCATCCTTTCTCATCTATTCTTCCCACAATCTTTCTCATTTCAGTAAATAGAATCACCATTTACTCAATTGCTCAGTCCAAGTTCTCATTTCCCCCCCCCACTCTATATCTAATCCAACAGTAAATCTTATTGACTCAACCTTTAAAATTTAAGCAGAATCAGTGACTTCTCGCTACTCCCACTACCTCCATGGTTCAAGCGACAATCAACTCTTCCCTGGACTATTACAATAGCCCCCCTACTCTTATGCCAGTTCTCAGTCTGTTCTTCACCAGCAGCCAGAATGAGCTATCTATAATCGAAATCATTTATCCCCTATTGATGCAAATCTCTTAATGGCTTCCTTAACAGTCCAAAGATTTTAGCGTGGCCTACAAGTCCTGGACTTTCTGCCAGTATTTAATGCCAGTACTTTCTGACATTATCTCCCATTATTCTCCCCATGTTCTGCCCCTGCCGTATACTTCCCTGTTCTTCCCGGGACATACCACGTGTTCTTTTTTGCAGGGTCTTTGCACAGGAAAAGCGTTCAGCCTGGAGCACTTCCCACTTCCTTCAGGTCTCAGCTCAAATGTCACCACTTCAGAGAGATTGTCCCTTGTTGTTCTGTCTAAAATAGCACCCAAATATTTACCTCCTTCGTATTCTACTCACTTACCTTGATTTATTTTTCTTCAGTGGCATTTATAAGTCTTATATGTTTATATTATATTTGTCTCCACATACTAGGGTATAAGCTCCATGACAGCAGCAACTTTGTTTGGTTTACTGCTGTGTCCAATATCTGGACAGTGCCTGGTACATAGTAGATGTTCAATAAATACTTGTTAAATGAGTGAATAAATGAATGCCAGGGCTCATCTTGCTAAACTAAGCAAGACAAGGGAATAAAGAATGAGGGGTTATGACTGCTAGGTGTAGCACTGCTCCAGACTGTGATACAGGTCACCTTAATTATTTGGGGGAAGAAGGCAGCTTCTATAACTTTCCGACTTTAGACATCTCCCTTGTGTGTCTCATGAGACTTTTCCTAGAAGCTGGGCTTTGGGGATTCAATTATGCCTTTCTAGTTATCCAGATGGAGCCATTAGGATGGCTTTGGGAGGGAAAATCTTGACTTACTAGAGTGGACCAAAAAAGGTGACCAGTTAGTCCCATACCACTTCTCATCTGTTTCCCTGTTTTTCTTGTTTAGCTGCTGTATCAAGAATGGGCACGCTACGGAGTGTTTTATAAGTTTCAACCTATTGACCTCATCAGGTAAGACGTGGGTGGGGACTCTTGGGAGGACTCTAGAGATACAAATCCTGAAAGATACCTGTCAACCTTCTTGGCCCCAGGCAAGACTGCTGGCTAGGCAGCGAGATCTGCTTTTCTAGGTTGTATTGTTCCCCTGCCCTGTGTCCTATGGTCCAGGAAGCAGCTCCGGGACAGGGAGGGGAATGGAGGCTGTGTGGGGCAGCAGATATTGTAGACTGATATACCATAACTTCCATCTTAAGTTCTTCAGCACTGTGGTCTCGCTTTCCCTGCCTGCTCTTTTGCGTGTGTGTGGGAGGGGCGAATGGAGTTTCATCTCTTATTATTGTCCTTCAGATTAGTCCTAGAGAAGGATCTGGGTGAAACAGACCTGTGGCCAAGTGGCCACCGTGTTGACCAAGAGAGGGGAAGGCCTTGCGAATCACATGAGGAATAAGCTGGCAGGTCTGAGAGGGAAAGTGGGCGTTTAATGGTTTCTCTAACTTAGAAGGGAGGAGATGCTGGTTCCTAGAATCTCTGCCTCCAGTGCTCCCCCAAAAATGATGTTCTGTTATATTGAGAATTTCCCCAGCTTTTACAGAACATGGGTGAAAAGTTTTTTCAAAGAAATTTCTAGAATGCAGCAAGTCTGACTAGCATAAAATGGGTTGAGGGCTCTAAGAACCCAATGAGCTCTCAGAGTCCAGCGTCTTTCCCAGCTGGAACGTTGGGAGGCAACACTGTGACGTGGGAGAGCACTGGGCTGAGAGTCTGGGGCCTGGATTCTCATCCAGGCCCGGCCACTAGGGGCTGTTTCTGTGGGACAAGTTCCTTTGCCCCACTAGGGGCAAGTCTCTCTTTGGTCTTCAGGGTCTGGGTTGTCCTAAACTGGGAGGCTGAACTGAGGGATCTGTGAGGAAATTGGGTATAGCATGCTTATTTGGAAAAGATGACTTTCGACCCCCTGACTGAAATAATGGACTCAGTGCCACACAGTCATGTGTGGCTCTTCTAATGAACTAATTAATCAGCAGGCAAACACAAACAGTGTTCCTGGCTGATTGCCCTGGGCTGGGATTGTGAGAGGGGCCGCAGCCAGAAGGACTGAGTCCAGAGGGAGGAATTCCAACGTCTTCTTGGAAGAAGAAAGCAGCCTGGGGGCCACAGTCTGGGCAGGTTCACCTCCCACAGAGATGTGAGGGCCCTCCCAGGGAACTGGGAGACCGGGTGGACGTCTCTTGACAACAGGTGTTTGCTCCAGCTGAAGACTGTTAACCAAAGCGCTTGGGTCGGGGACGGGGCCACTGGGTGCCTGTGACCAAGGCTTCCTCACCCAGCACCTCCCAGTCCCTGGCTGCGTTTTCTGAGGCACGGGCCACCTAGACTGTTCTCTGGGCCCCACCAAGGCTGCTTCCTCCATGCTCGGTAGGCTTTGATCTTCCTCTCTGCATCTCAAGTGGCCACCCACTCTGTCGCCTGTTTTCTCCAAGTACTCATTCGTTTTTAAAAAAAATATGATTAAAAAAATAAAAATTCTCCCTATCAGAGAGCCCCGTCTTTTCCCCAGAGACCTCAGGTGACTGGTCGCCAGCTTAAGTGGGAAATGGCTCCAAGATGCTCTCAGTTTTGGCCACCAAAGCAGCCTCACCTGCAGGGGAAGAATTGTCTTTGGAGCAGAGCCCTGCTCTGGGGCCCGGCAGTTCCTGAGCACAGAGCTCAAATCTGTCTAGACGGGGGCATGGTGTGCTGTGGAGCTGGACGCTGTCCACTGTCCTCACAGATCAGATGGCTAGGGAGCTCCCACAGCCCCTGGGCGAGGCCAGCGGCTTGGCTGGAGCAGGAAGGCTACAGCCTCAGGCATCGCTCAGATACCGGCTGGAGGGCAGGGGACACTGAGCTGTGTGTAGGGGGAGTGAGGGGATGTTTCTGCCCAGTGGTATATGGAACTTGGCTTCACGGGGCTGCTGGGTAGAAAGTGACAGTAGTGGGGAGAGAGAGAAGGGGAGAGAGAGAGAAGGCATTAGGGGCATAGGTGGGAAAGCAGAGACAGGGAAGCCAAGATGAGGCAGCTGGAGGGCTCGTAAAAGGGAAAAAGGGCGGAAGGGTGGGGAACAGCTACCCAGGCGCAGCAGGCACCACCCTAAGCTCGTTTCACACTCCCGTCAAAATGTCCCATCTCGCTTTCTCTGATTCTGTCAAAGTCACCTCCTTCCCCCTCTTCCTCATCTGCCCGCTCTCACTTCCCACTCCCAGCCTGACATCATGCCCCCTGGGTGCTTCTTCAGCACCACGTCTCTCTTCCTCACGTCTCCATCTTTCCTGCCACCACTGACTCGTCAGGACTGCCCATGACTGCCTTCCCTGAGCTGTCACTGGCCCCACCCTGCGATGGGGCTATTCCATTACAACTTACTAGTGTGAACTGTACCCGCTTTGTGCCTCATGTAGACATTGTACTCATGTGGTCTGTGTTGAAAGATGGGCAGAAGCAGGAGAGTCTGATACAAGTTGAATAGAATTCATACGAAGGCCTGGCAGAGGTTATTTCCCGCCTATTTCCTCGGGCGCTCGGCTCCTCGTTTTTAGCTCTGAGCTTCTGTTCCTCCTATGGAGTCCTAGTGCTCCTTCCTATGCCAAGCCTTTGGGACATTCGAAGGCACTGGTCGCTCAGCAGGGTGGGAGATCTGTTTGCACTTTGAAAGCCCCAGGACGAGCTATCCTTCTCCTCCCGCAAGCCTTCAAGCCCGAACTTGAGATAGGGGGTTACAGGCTCCTTTCCAGGTGTTGGAAGGGGGCAGAGGGAAGGCAAGAGGCTCTTCCCTGCACCCCTCACCCCTGTCTCCTCCTGCTGCACCTTCAGTCATGCCCAGCAGGCTGCAGTGTGAGACAGCTGATGCGTCTCTCCCAGCCCAACAGGGTTCTCTATCTCTGTTGTAGAAATTCCAGGCCTGCAGGCCTGAGCTGAGTGAGTGTGTGTGTGTGTGTGTGTGTGTGTGTAAGAGTGGCCTGGAAAGTTCCTTCCATAGGGAGGTATCCAGCAGGGACTCACTCACAGTAGGTTCTTCCAGGAACTTCAGCCCTGCAGTACTTGTGCCCTGGCAGAAAAAAGGTTTGTGGCTAAGACAGTGGGGGACATGATATCTTAGCAAGCAGGAAATGGCTCTACTAGTCCTTAAGAGCCGTACAAGGGTCGTTGCAGCCAGGGGAGTAGATTTCTGCCTCCACTACTCTGGGTTAACACCCCAACATCACAGGGGAAGCAGCCTTTATTTTCTGAGGAATCTGGGGACCTGGGGCCTTTTGGATTTGTACAGGTATGACCCAGTATTAGTGAGGACCGTGACCTGTCTTTTCACTAAAATTAATGTTGGCTCATAAGCTGATTTTCTTAGCTTGGAGGTTTTGATAGGGATGAGACAAAATAGGGTTTAAACACCTGTTTGACTTAGCTCCTAACTGTACTTTGCTGAAGTTGAGGTACAAAAAGTTTATTTTTAAGCACCTGCTACTGCCTGCCTATGACAGCATGAGGGTCCAGAAATCTACTGGGCTCAGGGGGATTGCAGCCTGTTGACTTGGGGGATTCACCAAGGGGACCATGCATGGGCAGCACCCACTGCACCAAACCAGCATTCTGGTCTGGACAGGGGTAAATGGCTCTCACCCATTCCCACCTCTTTTAGGGATGCCCATGTCACGAGTGAGGCTTCCTAAAAATCAGGACCTGGGAATGAAACCCATCCACGTGGCAGCTTTGGAGTTCTCTTAGGAATGTCCTGGCCTGAACCCTTGAGATACGAACACCTCCATAATGACCTGAGAGTGATGTCTGGGGGGGGGTCATACTGTCTCAAGAGCTTTTGGGCATCATCTGTGGATAGGAAGAGTGGTCCTGTGCCTCTACCTTGGTACACATCTCTACCATCTTAGACTCCCAGCTCTTTCCAGCCCTGCCCATGGAAAGCCTGTCCAGAACCCTGGCATCACAGGAATTGGCTTTCCCTCCCACTACTGCAAGGCAGATGTCCTTGTTCCTGTCAGAGTTCTTCACGGCGGCCACGAGGAACCTATGTGATTTGATCCATCCCTCTCTCAGTTGGTCTTTGAGCCCCACTGTACCCTCTTGAAATGGGACCTATCTAATCCCTTCAGGAGGGAGACAGAGGAAGTCAGATTCTTTCTTAGGAGGCTTCTCGATAGGCCAGGCTCAGGAAGGAACAGCCACAGCTGGTCTGAGGGAGGGAATGGAGAGGAAAGTTCTTGACCAACCCCGTGATTAATTATTTCCTGAGCCCTGCTGCCTCCTCCTTGATCCTTCACTGGGATTTATAAAGGCCATTCAGCTCAATGCAATAAACATTTACTGACACTTACAGTGAGCAAGTCTCTGTGCTCAGAAATATGGGTGGTGCAGCAACGACTAAGGTGAAGTTTGTGCCCTAAGGATCTTGCAGTTATGTAGGGAGACAGACATGTGCAAGGCAGGAGGAAGGGAGATCTTTTAAGGTCTATAATATTAGTACCAACATGACAGTATGGGACAACAGATGAAGAGTAATTGCTACTAGTGGAATAAGGGAAGATTTCCTGGAAGAAGTGGCACTTGAATTAGAAACATTGCCTTCTGGAGGACTGAGGTTAAAGGTCTTGAATGTGTCTTCATTGCCAGCCTGGGCTGCCCTGTATATGGATTTATTGTTTAGCCTGATATTGATGGGCAGAAATACCTTGACTCAAAGCCTGAATGTTTATTGGGAGTGGTGAGATCAAAACCTTGACTTGCAAACCTAACATGTATGGATTCTATGCCAACCTGGCCCATGCCCCTTGCTCTCCTCTGTAAGTTAACAGAGAATCCAGGGTTGGAAGGAGGCGAGGCTGGATCCAAGAGAGAAGGCTGTAAAGTGTGGGACTGGGACCTTGATATTTGCACAGGTCTCAGCATTTGAAATATTGGATTTAGCTGGGGAGCATTTTTGCAGGCTGGAAAGAAATAATATCTCATGGCCCTGGAGAACATT